AAAAAAATTTGGTCCAGAGAACCAATATTTCGATGAGGCTCATTTTCACCGTGTCAAAGTGTATACACCCTCATTAGTCATAAGGCTGAGGGTATAATTATCCATTAAAATTTCTGAAATTTGTATCATGGTTTACACAATCGGTATGTAGAAATGTCGGTATGAGTCCACTTTTTGGTATTTTCCCTATAATTTCATTTCATGTACCTGTCAGTATATCTATGGTGGAGGGTATCCAAAGTTCGGCCCGACCGAACTTAACGCTTTTTCACTTGTTTTTATTTTATTCATTTTTTATTTTATTCATTATTCATTAATAGATAAATATTATTCAAGAAAATTTTATTCGTATTTAAGAAAAATAGAAATGTTCCTCTGATGTTATGTTGGCCAATTGTAAGGTATTTATATAAAATATCAGTGGAAGTTAATTACAACCCAACATTTTTTTATGAAGCTCCCTTTTTAATCAGAAATATAATTTCTTTTAGTTTTCATTAAAACAAAAAGTCGACTTGGAGATGCGGGGCATCGATCCCCGTACCTCTCACATGCTAAGCGAGCGCTCTACCATCTGAGCTACATCCCCATGTGGTGCATATGGTAACATAAAAAAATAATACACGTATTGGGCAACTCTTGGCACCCATATTTTGATATCGCTGATAAATAAATTCGCAGCTACATGGGCATTTCAAAATAAATAAATAAATTGGAATTTATATTTAAACTGGCTGACAATTTAAATTAACCCGAACCAGCCCAGTGTTACAAATTGGTTACGCACACAACAACACACACATAATCCATAGGATCTACATAAATGCCCTATTAAATATTTCCGAAAAATTCTTAAAAAAAATATTCTGGGTGGATTCGGGTTAAGAGTTATATTGCCAAATTTTTCCAAAAAAAAAATAATTTATAAAATATTCTTCTCTTTATCAGGGCATTCCCAAGACCCTTCTATTCCGACAGTTAAGACGTAGATAACCAATTTTATGAATTTCCATGACACAACAATTTTAATGGAATATTCTTCTGGGGAAATTCTCCTTCTCTGGAAAATTAAATGGACCTTAATTTATATTTGCAGAATTTTTATTTTTTAATATTTCTGTAGTTTTTACTTCCAAACAATATTTTATGCACTTAAAAATATAAAATTCAGTAAAAATTCGATTTGGAGATGCGGGGCATCGATCCCCGTACCTCTCACATGCTAAGCGAGCGCTCTACCATCTGAGCTACATCCCCATGTTATTAAATGTGTACAACAAAATCAGCTGTCCAAACACACACGTCACTAAATGCAATATTAACTATTGAATTCATTGTCCACTATTATTAAAAATTTCAAAACTGGTTAATATACAGTGTCGGTCACATGATTAGCACACCCCATGCCGACACAAATGTTTTGATTAAATTTAAATATTTTTTTATAGGAAAAGCTTGCATATACTGTATTAAAAATTTTTATATGAAAAACGAAAATTATTAACGAAGATTTGTTAAAAAAACACATTTTTTATAAAACGGAATGGGTATGGATATTTTGACTAGGAGACACAACCACTTGGATTCTTGAAAACGAACCAATGAAGAATTTATTACGTTTTCCAGCAAATCCATATCATAAATGGAGATTTTTATTTAGGGGTTTTTAAGCATGGCTCCTTCAATATTAAAATGACAACGGTGTTTTTATTCCTTTTCTCATTCATAAAATTAACAAAAATTTCTGTCTCCATAATTATTATTTTAGATATAGCCCTCTTCTTCTCACTCTGTGTTAATTTGACATATATTTCGTGATTTATTTTTTATTTTTTAACCCTTTTAAACCACCAAAAAACACAGGTACCTGGTTGATAATTATGGAGATGCGGGGCATCGATCCCCGTACCTCTCACATGCTAAGCGAGCGCTCTACCATCTGAGCTACATCCCCACATACGCATGTCCTGGCCGATGAAATCCCCAAGACCGCACAGGACATCGATGTAAAGGCAAAAACTCCCTCGTAGGCTATTATTAAATAAAAACAAAACACACAACTAGTTTTAATTACCCTCAACATGTATTAAACGAACATGTTGTTCTTGTAATTTTAAATTTTTACGTTTTATTGTTGTTATTGTAGCAATTTCTATTTTTAACGTAGACAACATTGTTAGTATTTAATAGAAATAGAAAAACAAAAATATTCTCGCAGTCGTTGACATTGAAGTTAGTAAAATGTTGCCTACTTTTAGGCTCGTGCTGAGAAATATTATTTAACGCAGAGTTGATTTTATTGAAAATGAAACTAAGTGCAATCTTTTTAAAAAAAAAACTATTAAAAAATGAAAATTAAAAATAACTTAGTTTTAATGAATATTGAAGTACAAATTATTATAATAATGGATTTATTTTTAAATTAACTTATTTAAAATTCTCGACTTCAATTTTTTAGGATTTCCACCGACTGGCAATGAACGTGCATTATATTTAAGTCTTGTAACTTTGCATATATCTATCTGAAAACTTAAAGGATAAAGAAATTAATTTATAATTTTGTTGTTGATATTTTGTAACTAATGAAACTACCTTCTTTTCGAACATCCGAGATCAAAAATTCCAACGGCATTCGAGCACAAACTTGACTCTGGATTATTAACATCGAACCAAAATGATCAAAATGGTGGACATATGAAATTTTTTTGGTGAATCCCCTATTTTCGACCACAAACTATGTTGGAAAATAAGAAGGACCTTGACCGATTACCTTTATCCTAGTTCATACGATAACTATGTAAGCACAGGATAACGTATTGAAATTTGAAACCGATAGGTTTTTTGAAAACACTGTTTAGAGAAGGTTTGAGAAGCACTTCTAATTTCGCATGATGCTGAGACAATAAATCGGCTATATCTTCAAGAGTTATCGAGATTTTCACTTGAAATTGTAAAATTACATTCTTGAATGATTGCAGGTTCGAATTAAATTGCTTGGTGCAGACACAAAAGTGTTATTGAGATTTTTAATACAAATTTTAAAGGGACATTCTGGAATAGGTTCGAATGAAACAGAAAACCAACATTTAATTTTTGAAACCGTTAATGGGGGATAACCCATGAAGTCATTGTTGCATTACCATATAGGATTGATAGAACAGGTTCCATTTTTTCAAAAACAGTCTAATCTAAAAATCCACACTTGAAAATAATTGTGTATTAAAATCCGCTCTTAACAAATTTACTTTTCATAAAAAATGCTTATAACATGACATAAAATCGCAGACAAATACTAAATATATCCTAAAATGTATTTAAAAATGCATCTATATTTTTGTTTAAACTCAAAAAAGTATTCTGCTAATTATTGAAAAAATATCCTTGACAAAATTGATATATAAAATAAATATTTAATTCTTGTTTTATTGTTGAAAATTTATAAATAACAAATTTTAAGCAGTTTTATAATCTCAAATGCGAAAATAAAAATAAATTGCAATTGATTATACTAAAACAACTGCATTCGTGAAAATAAATATGTATTAAAATTCTGCTCTTAAAAATCTACTTCTTAAAAAAAAAAATTATAACCAAAAACTATTCTAAAATGTATTTAAAAATGCTAGTGGCAAAAAAAATTAAAAATCCATGTTTAATTTATTTTAAAAATTAATTAAAATTAAAAAAATATATTCCCTAAATGTTCTTCTAATTATTGAAAAAATATACTTGACAAGAATCTACTAGATTTTAATAGTTTCTTCGATATCATAAAGGAAAATTCGTTATCGTAGTAAAAAATAGTAGATACTTGCAGTACGGGAACAGATCATTTATTGAAATATTTATTGTTTTATATATATCTAATAATTTAATTATCTTCCCCCATTGAAAAAACGACAATATTGAAAATAAACGCTGAATGTACAACACTTTCTCTCTAACAACGAGAGCGCGCGCTTGTACAAACACACCCTCTATGGAAATGTTAATAGAAAGAGAAAATAAAACAACAAATGCTCTATTTGTGTTTGACAGTTAGTAAAATTAATAAAAATTATAAAAAAATATTTTTAAATTTATTTTCCCCTAAAATTTCTTATTTCAAAGAGACGATAACTCATTTGCCCACACTATCGATAGTACCTACTACTAAACCCACATCGATTTTAAAAAACAATCGATAGTTAACCATCGACTGTTTACCAGCTGTAGTTGTAGGTCAATTTGTTTTGCAATTTTGTTTTTTATATCAAAAATTTACAATAAAATTATTGAAAATAGTACAAAATATAACAAAATTACGATTGAAAACATAACAAAAAAGGCGGGAACCATAACGTAAGTTCGACGCGAGTGAAGCCAGTGGCCACAAAACGAGTGTAAAACCAAGAGTGAAATACCATTGAATTGTGTTTGTTTCAAAATCAAAGAGAAGCCAAAAGTCCAATTAGAATCGTCCAACAATGGAGGAATGATAAGAAGCTAGGCAGTGTTCCAATGAAGTAAATTTCTTTATAAGATCCAAAAGTATTTTGTAAAAATCTCCAACACAATGTTTATGGATACACCAAAGTTGCAACCAATTTCCAAAAGTAAACCGAAACCAAGTGAAAATGTGCCTTCTAGTAGTAGTAGCAGTAGTAATAACAGTAACAACAGCAACAACAACAATAGTAATAGCTATAATAATAGTGCCAGTGGAGGCGGCATTAACAACACCAATCGTAACAATAACAACAACAGCGGCAGCACCAACAACATTGCCGGCAAAAACAAAAACCCCTTTGTCTCATCTTTGCCATCAACAACAGCAACAACATCATCATCATCAGCGGATGATAACAATTGGTCCACAAATGCAGAGTAAGTTTTTGTTTTTATTTTCACTTTGTTTATGTTTATTTATTGTTTATCTTTTTGTTTTTATTTACATATACATACATATATACTCAACATAAACTATAATATGAGTGCTTTGTTTTTGGAATAACAACCTCTTAAAATCTATGAGTAAATCCAAGGCCACCACCAAAATCCTTTTGACCCTTAAATGGTCCACTGGTGTGTTTACTACCAAAGGCATTCAGATTCAATGAAGAAGCTTGATTTGCGGATGTCCACAAATTAGCCGTGGCATTGGCATTCACAGTTTTCATGTCAAATTTGGGTATCTGTGTTACACCCAAACTGGCCGAATAACCATTAGCATGAGACCATCCAGCATTTGCACCCACAGCATCAAATTTTAAACCATTCTGCAACTGGGTACGGCTATGGAAGGCATTTACATCCACACTGTGATTATCATTTTTAAAGGCATTGAGGCGTAGATTTTCCGATGTTGATTTGCTAATGCCATGGGTATTGGCATGTTGTATGGCCAAACCATGGCCATTGCTAAGAAAATTATTAAAAAAATATTAATTATATATATATATTTTTTTCAATACATTATTTTAGTTATACTTACGAACTAATTTCTCCAAATGCTCCTGTGGTCACTGGGCCATGTTTATTATTACCACTGGCAAAGACACCAGCCGCTGCGCCCAATTTCTCATCACCCACTTTGCCCATGGCCTTAACATCAATATCATGGCCACCCTTGGCATTTGTTGTTGCTGAACCACCAATATCCATATTTGTTCGTGAAGAGGTTTATAAACAATTAATTTTAAAATTATTTAATATTTTAAAACGTTTTTGCTTTTAGCTTGTCTTGTCTTGTGTGCTAAATGAAAACTGTGATGATATCGTTTTAATTTCTTCAATTTATATAGCTAACACCATAAAGGCTATTCAACATCTTCAAGTTGCAAGCAAGGTAAATCCCCCTTGACAAAGTGTGAGAACTGTTTTGCTTTACTCACTGCAAAGTTCATGAAAAGGGGACATTTTTTGGTTTCTGCAATCAAATATAGAACAAAGCAAAAAAATGAAAGGTACTTCCTATATCTTGTTTAGCTTGTTGTGCTAGTACTTCCCCTGCGAAAAAATATTGGCCCACACAAATAAATGCATCACCCAATCAATGTTACCTCTTAGTCAATAGGAATGGATAATCATATAGTATTGGAAATTGCTGACCATTGTGGATGTGTCGCAATTGTATTTTTATCAATTTGAAAGGGATTTCCCGGAATTTCGTAAGTTTTGTGTGTGAGATAATGAAAATTTTATTTTTTTATTATATCTCTTATTTTATTTTATTAGGTCAATAAAGGTAATTCCTCTAGAGGATGGTTTAATTCAGTTTAATCAATTTTTCCCAATGAAGTGCCAAACTTCAGGCAAATTGACCAATCGATCATTAAAATTTTAAAATATTGATTTAACGTCGGTAAAGACCCCACCTAAAATCAAAATTTTAGTTGAATATTTCATGATGAAAAATCGCATCTTGTGGTAATTGAACCGGTCAATAAATAAGGGAGGAATCGAGTTAAAAGGAATCATTGTTCTACAAAAAAATCTTCATTCGATTTTACTAAAAAAGTCCATCATTGAATTTGATTATTTGCTACTGAAAATTATGGTTACATCCTTTAAGAGTTATCGATCCTACCAGTCAGACAAAAATATGGGCGGATTCCTAAATTGATTACAAATTGTCTGAAAATAGTTTGGTCCAAAAAATGAGATTTATCTAATAACTTTATCATTAGCTTTAATGAAACAAGGGTTTCATATGATACTGTTTTATGGGACTCCTCAAAAAAAAAAAAAAAAAAAAAAAAAAACCTTGCAACCATGTCTTGAAGACGCACGAATAACGTTATTGATCCCAAACCCGATCAAAAACGGGAGCGTTATCATGCTATAAATACGTTTTTTTGTATTATCGGAATTTGGGCTCGTTTTTCACCTTAATTGACTGTAATTTGGTATGTTCGGTTCGCATAGGGTAGTAAATCCCCTATTTTGAACCACTGCCCATATTGCGGCACCCTAAACATTTTGGTATTTTAAGAAGTTTGGGTATGTTTTGACTGTAATTTGGAATTTTTCGTTATCGTTAAGTAGTACACCTTTCGCCCAAATTTTAGCGATTAGTGGGAACGTTTTTCAATAGAATTGGCAAATCTACCTACAATTGCGACCACTCACTACGCCGAAAGTCTCGGGAACAGACACGACAGCAGGCAGGTTCGCAAGTTGAAAAGTAGAAAAAAAGGTTCTCAAGTCCCTTGCCGACAGCTCATGGGGAGCCAACTATGTGGAAGTATTCAGACCAGTCAGAACACCACCCTTAGAACGACAATATGGCATCAAAGGACTGTATTCATGAGGAGACGAAAGTCCTACCCTTACGTTAGCATAGCAATATATTTTCATCGCAGTACCTGCTTGAATGTTTCAGATATAATCATCCTAAACTCCCACCCACCCATCCGTGTCAGGAAGGATCTGCATATCCTAGAGAGAGAGAGGTCCAACGTTATAAAGGGGCCAATAACGTTGTAGTTTGGTCTAAGTTGTATTTGGCAGATATTCTGACCATGTGTAGAATATCTGCCTTGGATGTGATACAGGCCCTCACAACACATTGCTCTTATTCAAGTGCTCTGCCAAACCTACTCAACTTACTCTGTTGCTGCAGGCTGTGGAAGTAGATGCATTTCTTAACATGGAGACAAGACCAGAACCAGATTGAATCAAACAAGAGGACTGATATCCTTATAAAAATGCTACAAAAACAAAAATAAATTTTATCAAAACCTGTGAGTGGAACAGTATAGTCGGACGGGGCCGACCATACGATGCCCTACACAACTACCACGGAACTCTTACTTTCTGCGGATTTTTATTCCGAAACTGGGAAATAGTTCGTGATAGTTGCACCTTCTTGAGATCAACAGCACCTCTTCCTTACACTTATATATTTTCCGAATATTACTAATATTCAGTACAGTCATTCTAATTAATTGTCCATATTTCCTTCACCATGGGTTGTTTTGTGATGTTAGGCTTATAATTGTGGTCTATAGATCGACTGGAACCTCATGGAACATTTCAAAGCGATCAGCGCTATATTTCCTTTCGCCCTCCAGTGTGGTAATGGGTTACTAAATAATATCTGAATACTTAAGCACCTGTAAATATTTATGTGTAACTCCCACATCCGAGGTTTTCAATCAAAATTGGGTCTAATTTGTACCGAATGCTTTTAGATATTTTGTGTCCACCTCAACTACACCAAATATTGTTGATAATTGTATCCTCCATTTTGGATAATTTTATTCATCATTGTGGATAATTTTGTTTACAGCTGTTGATTATTTTATACACCACTGTGGATAATTTTATTCCCAATAGTGAATAATTGTATTCACCATAGTAAATAATTTTATTCACCATACTGAATAATATTTTTCACCACATTGATTAATTTTATCTACACACGCGGACAATTTTATCCACCATTGTGAATACTTTTATTTATCATTGTGGATAATTTAGCTAAATTGTTCTCACCATCGTCCAATTTTTTTTCAACATTGCATAATACGTATCATTTTGTTTACCATAAAGAATTATTTTATTCACCACTGTGGTCAATTTTAAAAATATCTTTTTAATTTTCATTCATTTCATTTTTTTTTTCACAATAATTATTAAACCTTCCTCTTCTCAAATTTTGCATTTTTCTTCGTTTCGTATATCATCTTCTCTCTTATGCTCCCAACAAATAATCAACTTTTGTTCTCAATCACTGCTCAAATTGAGATCACTACCTTTTCCTCCCAGACAGCTCTTCAGAACATATGTTAATTTTCAAAAAAAAAAAAAACGCAACAACAACAACAATGTGCTATGCTATTCAAATCTAAAAATACATATGTATATCCAATATTCGAAATGGAAATTTTCTTCATTGAACCAGAAAAAAATAAAAACAACTCATTATTCCCGTCTATGAGACACAATCAAACAGACACACATACTTCGGGAAATGGTAGACCGATTCTGGCTACCAATTTTTTTTTTTTCAATTCAGTAGCTAGCTGATGATGTGTTTTTTATGAAAAAAAAAAAAAAAACATTTTGTTTCATTGTTGATCTTTCCTGCTCTCTAATTCGTTATGTAGAATTTTCTCTCACATTCGCAAAAAGAGTTGAAAATTTGTTGTACGTTGTTCTTTTTTATTTCGAAATTCATTTTCAAAATATTTGTTCATTAGGATTCTCCTGCTCACAGTAGTTGTAGAAGTCGTCGTCGCCTCTCGTGATCGTTTGTCGTCGGGGGATTTTCTTTTTTTTTTTTTGTGCATTTGTGTGAATAAAATGAAAATAGAGGAATTGTGAAAATATCATTTTCAACAAAAAATCAATTAAATCAAGTGTAAAATTTCAAACCGAAAAATAATAATAAAATTATTTTGTGTGAAAAAAGTGAAATCATTTTTTGTTAATTAAATAGAAGTAGTAAAAATCAAAATAGAAAATCGCAACGTGTTTTTGTGCAGCTAAATCAAAATCATTGATGATTAAATAACTAAAAATTTGATTTTATATGTGTATATAAAGATATATGTATGACAAAGATAGAAAGAAATCTATAAAAAAATTGAAATACAAATATTAAAAAAAAAAAGATTAAAAATAAATTTATAAACAAATTTGTGCATTTTTGCCACATTGTTGCTGCAACTACAATTATTAATTGAATTTGGTAATTACATTAATTTTGATTTCTTTTTTGTTTTAAATTTCAACACTTTGCAATCTGTAATCAATTTCATTTTCAAATTCTTCTTGGTCCAAAAAAAAAAAAAAAAAAAAATCAGAGTATCTGTGATGCTGATGTCCCTGTGTGTGAATTGTATTGCTACTATGACTAATATTCAATAACAAAATTTATTATTTTATGGCCTTTTCATTTATCAAATGTTGTCTGTGAATATATTTCAATATACATATACAAATATTTCTTTGGGATTTTCTTTTCATATTTCTCTTGAATTTCTATCTGATTTTGAGTGAAATTTGCTACCTTTCTAGCATCGTCATTGAATATTTTTTCATCTTGTTTTTGAATTCGTTTATTTATTTATTTTGTATTTTTTGTGTATCATTCCTCTGCTATCTATCCTTTTGGCATGTGCGAAAATTTTGTTCTCTAGTTTGTTGTTATTTTTGTTAATTATATAGGTAGATATGTTGGACAGCAGTGTATATAGGAATTTAACATTGTATATCTATGCAAATCATGAACATATTTTTATAGTCATTGACAAAAATATAAACATTTTTATTAGTTTATTTTTTTTCAAAGAATTTTCTATTGTTTTCCTTATGGATATTTTAGAAAATATGTTTAGCGGATTTAATTTAAAAAAATGAATTACAAATATTAAAATTAAAATGTCTTATCCTGCAAATGTTCCCCGAATAGTCAATAATGTTATCAAAGTATTTTTTTTTCATGTTTTGACTTAATCACTTTTGTTTTTACACCAGTAATTGTAATGAAATTGTAATTGATTCGAGGTATTTTAATTTGTTTCGAACGGAAAAAGTATCCCACATTAATTTGCATATCATCGACGTCATCATATGGGGAATGTTTATTACTAGACAGACAGCCAGACAGACAACCGGATGACGATTGATTACCACCATAAGATATCATTTTTTTC